GGACACTCTTGTGGGTCACTCTTACACGACACTCTTGTAGGACACTCCTTGTGGGACACTCTTGTAGGAAACTCTTGTGGGATACTCTTGTGGGACACTCTTGTGGGACACTCTTGTAGGACACTCTTGTGGGACACTCTTGTGGGATACTCTTGTGGGATACTCTTGTAGGACACTCTTGTGGGACACTCTTGTGTGACACTCTTGTAGGAAACTCTTGTGGGACACTCTTGTAGGACACTCTTATGGGATACTCTTGTAGGACACTCTTGTGTGACAGTCTTGTAGGAAACTCTTGTGGGACATGGGACACTCTTGTAGGACACGTTTGTGGGACAATCTTGTGGGACACTCTTGTGGGACACTCTTGAAGGACACTCTTCTGGGACACTCTTCTGGGACACTCTTGTAGGACAGTCTTCTGGAACACTCTTGTGGGACACTCTTGTAGGACACTCTTGTAGGACACTCTTGTGGGACACTCTTGCAGGAAACTCTTGTAGGGCACTCTTAAGGGACACTCTTGTGAGACACTCTTGTGGGACGCTCTTATGGGACACTCTTGTGGGACACTCTTGCGGGACACTCTTGTAGGACACTCTTGTGGGACACTCTTGTGGGACACTCTTGTAGGAAACTCTTGTGGGACACTCTTGTAGGACACTCTTGCGGGACACTCTTATAGGACGCTCTTGTGGGACACTCTTCTGGGACACTCTTGTGGGACACTCTGTGGGTCACTTGCAGGACACTCTTGTGGGACACTGTTGCGGGGCACTCTTGTGGGACACTCTTGTGGGACACTCTTGTAGGACACTCTTGTAGGACACTCTTGTAGGACACTCTTCTGGGACACTCTTGTGGGACACTCTTGTAGACACTCTTGTAGGACACGCTTCCGGGACACTCTTGTGGGTCACTCTTCCACGACACTCTTGTAGGACACTCCTTGTGGGACACTCTCATAGGACACTCTTGTGGGTCACTCTTATGGGACACTCTTGCCAGACATTCTTGTGGGACACTCTTATAGGACACACTCTTATGGGACACTCTTGTCGGACATTGTTGTGGGACACTCTTGTGAGACACTCTTGCAGGACACTCTTGTGGGGCACTCTTGTGGGACACTCTTGTAGGACATTCCTGTAGGACACTCTCGTGGGACAATTTTGTGGGACACTCTTGTGGGACACTCTGGTGTGACACTCTTGTAGGAAACTCTTGTGGGACACTCTTGCGGGACACTCTTGTAGGAAACTCTTGTGGGACACTCTTGTAGGACACT